GTCTTGGAGGGGGAACTGGAGTTTCAATGACCTGACAACTATGGGGGCATGTGATGCTGTCATGTTTTGAAATTTTGACTTAGTTTCCATACGCGTTGTTCTGTCTGCAGTATAGGCGATGGCAAGTGCTACCAATGCTATTTGCTTGAAACGATTGCAGGAAAGCTTCACGGAATACAGCGACAAGTCAATCTGCTTCACGACAACGCGCGTCGGCGCGGGTTTCGGTCTCAAGCCACAAGACTCTCAAGCTAGGCTGGACCGCGGTTGCCCGTCTGCCATATTCGTCAAACCTATCCATACACGTCTTCCACCTTTCCTGCTCGCTCGCTCATTACCTGGAGAACAAAAGCTCGACGACGAGAAGGAGCGCAAATCCGACTCCAAATGTTTTTCGACAAGAATTCCCCTAATTTCTACAAATGTGTATCAACCAGTTGCCCGAAGGTTGTGTATTGTTGCTGACTCTGATGGTCAATATGTTACGGGCCTTAGTATAGATGAAAAATAAAAAAAGGTTTCAAATATTCGGCTGTGGAGTGTTTTAAAACTTTCTTTCCGACCTAATACAGGGGTGGCCAAAAAAAAAAAGAGACACTTCACTTCAAAGTTCAGCCAGCATTAATCACACTTTGCTAGAATCAAATCGACTGAACCCAACTTAGTATTAAAGAGCACACTCTAATCTATCTAAATGTTACGTGACAGCCTTCTGCACCGACTACATCAGAAGATTTTCCCACGGAAACATGGTTCACGGTACGAGCTCAACGAGGTCGTCGATGTACCATAGGCCATTACGACCTCCCCGAAACGCTGGTTAAAAGCGGTCTTGCACAGTAACAGCTAGTGTCTCCTAGAAGTTATTCACCATCTAATCAATTGAAGAAATCATGTAGCAGCTTCAGGCCGGAGCGATTACAGCAAGCCTCGTTGAGCTCGACGGTGACGACAGATGACGTCATATTTTGAAGACGGTGGAGGCAGTGAAAAAGGGCCTACTTCTGCTTACGTGGGAACATCTTAGGAATATTCCGCCATAAAACTCTCATTAACATCGGCGCCCTGTGCGACGAAAAGTTCGATGATGTGCGCCATGGCAAAAGTGTCTCTTTTTTTGGCCACCCCTGTATATCCACGATTTGCTTCGTGATCACAATTGCTATGAAGTGTTTCTTCGTCCTGTCATTAAAATTGCGGTCATCAGAGCATGGAATCGATCAGCTGTTGCAAAGTGGTAATCATGGCGATGAATAAATTGCTCTTAGCTCAGATACCAGAAGAGTCATCTGTTGAAGACTTCGCTACTCACCATCAGTTTACAGATGCTTGCGTGCCTCACGCTCGTAAACGCCTTGCTTCATAGCAGCACGGAAGGTCACACCTGATCCCCCTCGAGAGCGGCGGGGTCGGAAATGTGCGAACGTGCCGGTTGAACCTTGCTGCCGATGCCGGCTCATCGGCTTATCCCACTATATAAATTACTAGTGAACTCTGAGTTGAGACGAAATGGTGCCGCAGATTTGTGCTTAAAACGAGGGGTGTGGGTGCGAACTCGCCTGGGGCGAAGTGTTTTGCCCCAAACTTCGCACAGTATTCACTTTCGCAAGGAGAACTGCGGCAACCAGTAGTTGTGCCTCAGCATGCTTTCAAAAATATAAGTTGTGAGTTGCATAGCTTGCTTCCTTGTTGAAAAAAAACCATGACATTGGTGTGATTTTAACACGTTGTCGAAATCGCGCTTTTTGCCTTTTCTAGCCGCGTGTGGGACCGGCACGATTAACGACAACGCGAATTTGGCACTTTTGGCCACGTGGGACCACGGCGTTTTTGCGAGCGCCGCCGCCTCAGGTTGTTCAAGCAAATTTTGAGTGATAAAAACATAAATATATGACGAAGTTAAAACAAAATAATAATAAATAAAAATAATGATCAATACAAGGCCAGATCAATATATTGTAATGAGCACAACCTACTCGGAGGTACAGTAGCGGAATTTCTATTGAAAGACATGGAATAACAATGAAAAAGTGATATTCTTTAGAACAAGCTGCAATGAACTTCAAAGGCAATTTTGAGTTGATTATTTTAATCAAAACACATATATTGTCATCTCTAAGGTACCGTATCTACTTCTACTACTATTTAAACCTTCACATTCATAGGAAGAAAAAGTAAACGAAAAATTTATTAGGCTGAAGATTTCGTATGGTTCAGAAATCCTCCTCCAAATTGAAGCATACGTGACCATTCTATGGACCACTATGTTTTTAGCTAGGTCAAGGTCTCCTCCATTCAATAATTACAAGAAACTTCTAGAAGAACCAGGCGTGCGCGAAAAAAATTAGTGTAATGGGTGCGGGGGATATATCCCCCGCACGGTCCGACACGGCCTGCAATGCGCGGGATATATATCCCCCGCGTTGTCGTCAATGTGTTAAGCTCTTGCCGCATCACCCAATAACTTGAACTTTGAGCCGTAAATGTGCAAGATTTGTATGCGACAGAATGTGTCCTTTACTGGCAAATGTATCCAACTTATCGGGCTTTACAGTAATGGAAGTTCGCCCGAAATGACGTGTTGTGGCATGAGAAGGCAAAGTTTTATTTACTTCCGCTTTAGTGGTTCCGAAATAATTTTTGGACGTTTGGAAGTGGCTGTTTCAGCAAAAAAAAATATCCCATCATGCGAGTTTAGGTTTGCATTCTCATCTATTACTCCTTTTCACATCGTGCTTATGGTATTAAGAAAAAATGAGGAGTAAACTGAATAGATTTTTCCTCGAGTCTCTGCCAAACTGAGAATATTTTGTGAGTCAAGTGGTTTTTGGTTATATTGATTTTTCCCATAGAATGAACACAACAAACTTGGGAAGAGCTCGGGCATGTGCGAAAGCAAAACTAATGTGATGGGTGTGGCATATCGTTGGTCAAGATGTCCGCCGACAAGTTGTTGCGTCTAGATATTAATATGTATTAAGGGAAGTATAGAACCACAGGAAGGTGGGAAGAAATCTCATGAGCAAAGCCACAAACAATTTGAAGCATTGCAGCTTTATTTCCCGAAAGTGTTCTATTATGTGTTTATTTCTGTTTACGCGAATATGACACTCGTTTGTTCCGCTTTTGAAGTTTTTGAGCATCCTGCTAAGAAACTATGGCTGGGCTATACCTAGCATACATAAATGTTGGTGCCGCTTGTGTTTTTTTTTCACGACTGCGTTATGCAGCATTTGAATGTATAATAAATTAAAAAAGTGCCATGCGTCATAACGTGCACTGATATTTCTGCATTCAAGATAGTTTCGAGAACCTGTCTCTGGAAATTTCTATATTGAGTGATTCTGTCCCTCGAGGATGAGAGAAAATAGCCACCGTCGGAAGTACACATATCCTACACCTTCAATGATAGAATTTTCATAAGGGAACATATGATGCATACCTGAAGGGATGTACGAGTTCCAGTTTTCAATGCGTACATAATCAGGGTATCTACGGGGTAGGTCGAAGTTATGGCAATCGGTGAAACCAATTTTTCCGAATCTCTTCAACTTCCTCTTCCTTTGTGGTCGAATTGTGATGGAGGACTACGTCTTCTTCTTGTTAAAATCAAATAACATACAGCTTTAGAGATTAATGGAACCACCACGCCACTCTCAGCTAGAACAGAGAAAGGGGTCTGGCACGCTACATCTAGCGAAGCCTCAACGAAACAAAGAAACTATTGTTATAGGTAACCGCTAAACTCATCAGCTACCGCCTGTGGAGAAGGAGGAAATTCGAAGGGAACAGTTACCACCAAAACAAATACCATATGCAGATATTCGCTCTCCTTCTTACGAATTTTACATCGCCGAAATGGAATAATTGATGTACGAGAACACATGGACACTCCTATGATCTTTGAGTGATATAATTTTTTGGTTGACATAATTTTGGTCCCTGTGTATAATGGGCGATTAATGGAAATTAATGCAATCCCTTATACATGTACGAGAAAATGCCTCAACGTTTTTTTAAATATTTATTACTTGCTTATTTATGCGCCTTTCTCACGCGCCAAAACACTACACCAACTGAGCTCAATAATAGCAAACAACGATATGGCCAGAAGGAATTCACATAGACATCGAATGCGCAGCGTGGCTTGAAGAAGTCTTTCAGGGCCAGTGTAACATTCTCCATTTTCTGATCCAAAGATTGTAATGATGATTATCTACACAGAATCTACTAGTCTCTATGAGATGACATGGGAGCATACAGCGGTTACCAAAAACCATCGTCCCTCAACATCAGAAAATATATAATTAAACACATTTTGCTACTTTTGCGATTAAAATACATTTTTGCTGAACCCGAACCAAATGGTCCCATTTAGGAATAGTACATTCCACCTTATGAAATCATTTCGCAATGACCATACACTGATGACATCAGAAGAACTGCCACGGGAACGTGGTCCACGATTCGAACCCTACGAGGTCCTCGATGGATTCTGTACCATTACGACGTTGTCTGAAACGTGAAAGCTATACGCTAGTAATCAGACTGAAGAAACTATGTAGCAGCTTCAAGCTAGGGCAATCAGGAGTGGCCTCTTGCGCTCGACTGTGATCGCAGATAACGTCATTTTCTAAAGACGGTGAGGGCATTGAATGTGGTAATGTTGCTAATAATGGGGACTAAGGATTATTTTTAAGGTAATCCTCCACTGCGCGACGCTCTGAACGACGTAAAGTTTTCTGATGTGCGCCACAGGTTAAACGAAGTTTTTGGCTACTCATGTACATACATATAGTGGCTCATCGCGGACAGCGGAAACTAACCCAGGGTGCTATCATAGGGGAACAGTCAGTTGAATAAAGGTAAGGCCAATAAAACGCCGTTCAAACACGACGATCACTGTACAGCACCCATCAATGTCTGCCTAAATTACGATTTCTTTACACGTGCATTGAAGTATTTATCAAAACGGATAAGCTTTGTGCTGAATACTAACTGGTTCTCTTGATAAAGAACGTAACAGCTTCTTCGCTTCTTCGACATATCAGACCAATGATGAACTGTCGATAAGGTTCTGTTAACGTCATCATGATGATGACGTCAGCAATCGAATAGAGCGAAAATATACAGATGGCGATTGCAGGGAACAACTCAGCATAGTAAGGGATTCCTGAAGCATTCAAAAATTGAACTGAAAGTGAAGTGAAGTGTATCTTCGTGTTTAGAAGCTTGTGAGAGCTTTGGTGAAACTATTTTAGGGTAAAGCATAAATAACAAGATTGAACTTCAAGAAAGGCAGTTACCCTATAAAGCAGGGTTTCTAAGAGGCACAGCACTCTGTTTGCCCTGCGTAAAATTTTATGATTCCATGGTTTCATCATGTTATTTGGTGAATGGCTCCACTATTCAAAATTAGGGAATTTTCAGTCTTACGCGCCAAGGAAAATTCTTCCCAGAGTTGCTGTATCCCGGATGAATCACACGCTCGTCACCCGGCTTTCAATTGAGCACACTTTCTCATACTAATCAGTCGATTACGGAAGCCATAGGTGGCTCTGATTATTGCTAAAAGCGTACTCGACGAAATTACGTAAAAACCGTAATACAGATGGCAATAGATTCGAGTTTTTAGGACAAAGGTGCGAATATAGAGTACAATATACTTTATGCCATGAACGACAAGCTCTCTCGTCGATGGCTTCAGCGCGGACCACGGACGGAGCTCGCATTAAGACCGGTAAGATCGGTTTTCGTCAATGTAAATGTAAATTAAACCAAAATTCAACTGAGTTGCTGTTGAAGATGCAGAGTGCGTCATAATTATAGCGACAACGTTTTCGAGGCGCTTAGAGGGGCCACAACTCAAAAGAACCAAAAATGCAATAACGTTCACAGTTCAATCAAGAATCGCGAACATTCACCAACCAATAAAGATTTTCGTTAGTATTTACGCAGGCCCACAGGAGCGTTGAGGAACCGACCATCTCGCCATTAGGCGAACTGAGCGCACCAAGTCCTGTAAATTCTACCGCGCACTACGCGGTCGTCAAAAAAACACGCCCTCCTTATCAAAAACAACTGAATTCAACTCCTTGTTTTTCGAAGCGTTCAGTGAATCTATAGATATTACTCGGATGTACACCACAACACACGCTGCTGACTTTGCGCAGACACCCTTGACGTTGAAGTGCAGTAATTCAGAAGCGCTTGCAGTATCACTCCGCTGTCAGCAATCATATATTTCAGTGCTTAAATAAGATAGTTTTCATGCAGGCCAACACGACAAAACTAAAATAATGACAAAAAATAAAATCTCCGCATTGGTCCAGATTTTATGCGCATGCGTTGTCGCTGTAACTTTAGCGCACCCTATGCAATAATGGAGAAAACTATCATCCATGCTGCTATACAGAACATTCGTTTCAATGGCGATTCGGTGTGCCGATTCGCTCAACTCTGCAGAAGTCTGACGCAAAATCCGTTCTCTCGATGCCAGGTGATACGAGGTTCGGCCAGCCGAAACATCAAACATGAAAGTAGTGGATTTCTCAATGTGATCGTTATTGAAGCTGTATAAGCGCGTCTCAACAAAGCCCAAATGGATCGCTTGAAGCTGCTTCTGAAAGAATACGAGATGATATTGTCATTGTCATGCGTGCAAGGATTTCTATAAGGTTCCTTTGAAAGGAATTGGCAAGCTGATAGGCGACCATTCCGAATGAGAATGTTGAGTGCTATTCAATTGTAGGATGTATTCGTTGCTGTAAATGATATCCCTTTTCTGGTTCGAGCTGAGCCACAGCACATTTATCACACCACCCTGTTACACGTCAACAATTCTCGCTAACACACTCGGCGCACTAAAAAAATAAGCTTCAGAAGAAATCTTGAGTCTAAATGAGCTTGACATTCTCAATGGTAAAAGCGATATACTTCACGGGCAATAAGAACGCATCTCTTTTGAGAAGAAGAATTTAATCTCTTTAGTTTAGGCATATCTGCAAAATTTCCGGGCATTAAGGAATACAGATTACCAGCTCCTTCGACGAATACATTTTCCGAGGTGCCCGAAAGAATCAGCAACACGAATGGAACGAGAATGAAGAGGGATGGAATTGCAGTCTGAAAAAAATATAGATGGAACTCAAAGTACGATTCCAATACTGTTGAACTGTTGATCTTCGTTGACGGTACACCCTACAATCGAGTTGTGGAGGCTGTTCCGCTCGAGCACGAAATTAAAAGAAGTGCGGACCGATCAGGGTTTCGCGCAACATGAATTTGTTCCTAAGGCAAATTCCGACACATGAGAGCCGTATCATATCGTATTGCCCCTCTTTCTTCAAAATTTCGCAACCATTTACCTTTCTATGTAATCATAGAGTGTGCTACGAGAGGGACGAGCGAAAGTTGATCACCTGCCAAATGAGGCTTCTTAGAAGCATTTTATGCATTTTCACAAAGCGACTTCTCATTCGGCTGCTACTGCTGCGAATAGTTGGCAGATTCGTTATAAACCATGACCAAGATGAAATAAACAGACTATGCGAGGTGACGGTAAAGACCTTAAGGACAAGTTTGCAAAATTTCGTGAAAATGTGTTGAGGATACTTCTGCGGGATGGAAAGAAACAGAAGGTGCTGATTATTACCCTCTAGAGTTGAAAGGCGGGACATTACGAGCTGCATTTCTGGAACACAACAGAACTCAGTCTGGAGAGTGAGAGACACACCTTTACACTACGCTACTTGGGCGATCCTCCGACGGCGCAAACTACTCATCTGTTCCCGGCTGTCAGAAAGGCAACCCTACTCTGTCCGTGTCCGAGCACAGGGACTCAAGGCGGAATAGAGTGAGTAGTAGCTTTCAATTAACAACGAGTTCTATACTCAATTGAAGGGCAGCGATAAAGCGAGGGATAATGAGTGACGTGATTCGAAAGACGCGCAATACCAGATCCTCTCTTCAGTCCCTCCTTCTACACCCATAAGATCAGAATTTTCTCGCGGGAACATGGTGTAAGGTTTTAACTCAACGATGTATCCCGAGGCATCCTGGGCCATAATGACGTTATACGGAACCCTAGTCAGAAGCGTGATCAGCCGCCCGTTGCGCAATAATCTTCAAGGGGATCAGTTCGACCAGTGGAAGGGAGTGGGGTTCGTAAGTTCAAGTACCAGTTACAAAATTCGAAGGTACAAGGCAAGGCGAAGTGGCAAAGGAGGACAGACTTTCAACTACCACTGCGACTACTCACCACAGACGATTGAATGGCGCATCCCAGAGCAGGAATTCTTACTAAATCACTTCATATTCCAGGGAGCACGAGCGAGCAGATCCCTTCAGAGCTTTTAGGCCAAACTAAAAGGCTTCCACTCTAGTTCCATGTGCAACAAATTTGGCTGATTGATTTCTTGAGTCCTAATAGAAAATTCTGGCGAAAGCAAGGTGTCCATTCCAGAGATTACCAGAAGGTTTCAGCTTATGCCACCAAACGCTGATCCTGCAGATTTCTTTGTACTAATGTCGAAGAAAGTTATGGGCTTTTGAGCTTAAAAGCTCGCGTTTTAGAAGAATGTCTTCAAAATCAATAGAAAGAAAAACGGAACAACAGGACTACTTTGTGAAAGATTGATCTTTGAAGAGAATTTCAATATTTTTCCGGAAGTCTTCTAGTTTCTAGACCTTAAAAATCTGCAAACCGTTAATTAGGAAGGAAGTTGTGGACGTCTGAATGACAAAACAAATAAATTCTCAAAAGTGGACCACTAGTGCCTAAAAAATGGAGCAATGGGACTATTTTCCGAGGAAGTGGTCCTTGCCGGGAGCTGCGGTGCTTTTCCGGTAGCGAAAATCTTCTAGGTTCTTACTTGCCTTAGAGATGCGCAAAAAGTTGATTATGAGGGAAGTTGTGAACACTCGAATGTTGAAACTC